TAACAGAGCTAACCAGCTATGAGCCGCTGCTTTCAGACACTGTCATCGTGACAGTTAACAACAGCTAGCATAACCTCCTCTGAATGATGCGTCTCCATCAGGATACATTTGAAAACGAGTCTGTGAATGAATCTGAGGACAGAAACACGAAGCTGCTCATTTTAACTGGTCCACAGTCATCAGCCAAATGTTCTCTGATTGGTCAGATTGGTTCCGGGTCTCTTCAGCATTAACATTCTTGTCTGTCCTCTGTGTGTCTGCTGGGTCCAGCCTTCCCATCAGCCCCTGTGGTCAGAGGTCATGTTGAGCTGAGGCTGGGGGCGGAGACCACCCTGACCTGCCAGGTGTCTGATGTTTACCCCCCTGAGCTGCTGACCCTCACCTGGCTCAGAGGAGACACTATCCTGAAGAGCATTATAGGAGATTCTGGATCCAGCTCAGTGCAGTCTGAGTACAGGTTCACTCCTCTGAACCAGGACTCAGGAGGAAACATCAGTTGCAGGGCCACGATGGACCTGCACAACCTGCCTGTTGAGGACAGGACCAGAGAGACCACCGTCCCCCTAAACCTGCTGTGTGAGTCCTCCAGTCTGATCCTGAGTTTATCTGGACCTGAGTCAGTTTATCTCTTCCATGAGTCAGTTTATCCTGGAGCCTGAGTCAGTTTTATCTCCTTCCTGAGTCAGTTTATGCTGACCTAGTCAGTTTATGCTCTTCCTGAGTCAGTGTTTGGACTGAGTCAGTTTATCTCTTCCTGAGTCAGTTTATCTGGACCTGAATCAGTTTATCTCTTCCCTGAGTCAGTTTATCTGGAGCCTGAAGTCAGTTTTCTCTTCCTGAGGTGTTATATTTGGACCTGAGTCGGTTTATTCTTCCTGAGTCAGTTTATCTGGACCTGAGTCAGTTTTCGGTCACATTTCAAAGTGTTTTCTCTTCTTTAGATGCTCCTGTTGTCACGGCGATATCAGACCCTGGGTTGTTGATGGTCGGTTCTCCGCTCACTCTCACCTGTTCTGTGGAGGGAAACCCAGAGCCGAACATCACCTGGAGCCTCAGGACGGCAGCTGGTCGGTCTGTTCTGCAGGGTCGAGGACATCAGCTGGTCTTCACAGCGGTGAGTCTGTCTGACACTGGACGCTACGAGTGCGAGGCCCGAAACAGCGAGGGAAACAAAACCACCGAAGTGGAAATCATTGTTCATGGTGAGAGTGACGCTTTTGTTTAATTTATAATCCCTGTCCCGTTGTTGTCTTGTTGTTGTCCCGTTGTTGTCATGTTGTTGTCTTTTTGTTGTCACTTTGTTTTTCTTTGTTGTCTTGTTGTTTTTTCTTTTTTCTTTGTTGTCTCGTTGTTGTCTATTTGTTGTCTTGTTGTCCTCGTTGTTGTCTCGTTGTTGTCTCTTTGTTGTCTTGTTGTTGTCTCTTTGTTGTCTTGTTGTTGTTTCTTTGTTGTCTCTTTGATGTCTCGTTGTTGTCTAGTTGTTGTTGTCTCTTTGTTGTCTCTTTGTTGTCTCTTTGTTTGTCTTGTTGTTTTTGTTTGTTGTTTTTTCTTTTTTCTTTGTTGTCTTGTTGTCTCTTTGTTGTCTCGTTGTCCCGTTGTTGTCTCTTTGTTGTCTCGTTGTTGTCCCGTTGTTGTCTCTTTGTTGTCTCTTTGTTCTCTCTTTGTTGTCTCTTTGTTGTCTCTTTGTTGTCACTTTGTTGTCACCTCTCTTTGTCTTGTTGTTTTTCTTTGTTGTCTTGTTGTTTTTTCTTTTTTCTTTGTTGTCTCGTTTTTGTCTCTTTGTTGTCTTGTTGTTTTTTCTTTTTTCTTTGTTGTCTCGTTTTTGTCTCTTTGTTGTCTCGTTGTTGTTGTCTCTTTGTTGTCCCGTTGTTGTCTCTTTGTTGTCTCCTTGTTGTCTTGTTGTTGTCCCGTTGTTGTCTCGTTGTTTTTTCTTTTTTTCTTTGTTGTCTCATTGTTATCCCGTTGTTGTCTCGTTGTTGTCCTGTTGTTGTCTTGTTGATGTCTCGTTGTTGTCCTGTTAATTACCTGTCACCAGCTCTGACACACCTGTCTTCCCCTCCCACAGGTCCGCCCACTAACACCTCCCTCTCAGTGAGTCCAGGTGAGGAGGTGGTGGAGGGTCAGCAGGTGACGGTTACCTGCCGCTCAGACGGAGCCCCGCCCCCCACGCTGGTGCTGAGGAGAGAGGGGGAGGAGCTTCAGAGGACTGACCCCGCCTCCTCCACGCTCTCCTTCAGCCTCTCCTCCGCCCTACTGGAAGACTCCGCCCACTACCAGTGTGAAGCCTCCAACCAGTACGGATCCCAACTGGTTACCAGCTCCCTCACTGTCACTGGTACTGCTCTCATTTTTATTCATTAATACATAACATCATTATTATTGTTGTTGTTGTTGTTGTTACTTGTATTATTAACTGTCCTGTTCAGACTGAAAGAAGGTTTGAACTGTTTGTTGGACAAAATAAGTAATCTGAAGACGCCTTTGAGTTTTGTTCTGGTTCTGGCAGACTTAGGGCGTTTTCACACCTA